TCATCTATTGAAGGGCATCTAGGCTGATTCCACAATCTTGCTATCGTGAATTGTGCTGCTATGAACATCGATGTAGCAGTGTCCCTGTAGCATGCTCTTATTAGGTCTTTAGGGAATAGACCGAGAAGGGGAATAGCTGCTGACCCCTGCTTTTTAAAAATTTTTTATTTTGGGGGCTGGGGATGTGGCTCAAGTGGTAGTGCGCTCGCCTGGCATGCGTKYGGCCCAGGTTTGATCCTCAGCACCACAGACAAACAAAGATGTTGTGTCCGCTGAAAACTAAAAAATAAATATTAAAATTCTCCCTCTCCTCTCTCTTAAAAAATAAAATTTATTTTGAGACAGGATCTTGTTAAGTTGCTTAGGGCCTGCTAAATTGTTGAGGCTGGCTTTGAACTTGTAATCCTTCTGTCTCAGCCTCCTTAGGCACTGGGATTACAGGGGCACCACTGAACCGGGCTATTTTGTTTTTGAAGATTTTTTATTGCGGTTTACATACAATAAAGCACAAAAATCTAAAGCATACAAATTGATTAATTCTTGTATTATATAAATTTTGTAATTAACACATTGGTAGAGATATGTTAGTGCTTTTCAATTGAAATAGATTTTATTTATTTAGTAGAGGTGGTTAAATCACTTTTCTTCACTTAAATTCAGGAACTCTATTTACTGTCTATGAGAGAAGAAATTTAACCTTATTAATTGAATTTCTATATTATTTTAAATGCTTTCGTGAAAAGTGGTGAAATATAAAAGTAATAGGTGGATTTTGTGTGTTTATGTTATATTTTATATATTTCAGGACATGCTAGAGACTCAAACAGCAGTGATAACAACAACAAAAAGTTGGCTGTGGGTGTGGCTGGGGTTATGGCTTAGTGGTACAGCACTTGCCTAGGACAGGTGTGGTCCTGTGGTCGATCCTCAGCATCACATAGAAACAAACAAATAAATAAAATTAATTAAAGAAAAGTTGGTTGCAGTTGTGGCTCAGTGGTAGAACACTTGTCTAGCTTGTGAGGCCCTGGTTCAATCCCTGTTCAATCTTTATTATGGCCAAAACAAAAACAAAACAAAAAACCCCTGTATTTTTAATGTATAAAAAGTTTGATTATGTGTATTTTGACTTATTTTGACTCTTTAAGAGTTAAAGCTTAATGGTGGAACCTTTGGGAAAGTGACCATAGGCCTCAGAATTCTCCTGTTTATAGTCATTGATAGTATCTATTTCATAGAATAGTTGATAAGGTTTAATTAAATTAATTGTTTAAAGTGCCTGCTCAAAGTAGACAGACAATAACTTTTTAAAATATATATATATATTTAGTTGTCAGTGGATCTTTATTTTGTTTATTTATTTGTATGTGGTGCTGAGCTTTGAACCCAGTGCCTCACATACTCTAGGCAAGTGCTGTACTGCCAAGCTACAACCCCAGTTCCAACAACTATTTATTTATTTAGTTCTAGGTGGACACACAATATATTTATTTCATTTTTATATGGTGCTGAGGATCGAACCCAGTGCCTCACACGTGCTAAGCAAGCACTCTACCACGCCACAAACCCAGCCCCCAATAACTAATTTTTTAATGGAAAAAAATTTTTACTCTTAAATTGGTATAAGAATCTCTTAGAGAAACTTTGCCTTTGATGGGAAAATTATTGATAAACAAACTCTAAAATGATCCCATGAGATGTGTATTCCATTAGATTTTTTTTTCTCAGCATAAATATTTTTAGTGCTGCCCTATTTTTCCAGAGTGATGCTTATGTTTCTTTTTTATTTCTACTGTTTTTGCCTGTTCTAAACTTTATTTTCCAATGCCTGAGTTACTATATTCTTCTTTCTTAAAAATTAACTTTTAATGTTTCTCATCTTTTCATCCTTCTAGTCCTATCTGCTAATTTTCCTAAATATTTCTTATATTTCACATTTTTTTCTAAAATCTTTTGTGTCATTCTTGTTAAAGATCTTTAATATCTATTTCATTTAGCTATTCAGTTTAGTGTTCAAATGTTCTTCATGGGCTGGAATTGTAGCTCACATGTAGAGGGCTTGCCTAGTACACGTGAAGCACTGGGTTCGATCCTCAGCACCACATAAGAATAAGTAAAATAAAAGTATTGTATCTATCTGCAACTAAAATATGTGTGTGTGTGTGTGTGTATTTTGGGGGGGGGGTTACCAGGGATTGAACTCAGGGACACTGGACACTGGACCACTGAGCCACATCTCCAGCCCCATTTTGTATTGTATTTAGAGACAGGGTCTCACTGAGTTGCTTAGTGCCTTGCTTTTGCTGAAGCTGGCTTTGTACCATGATCCTCCTGCCTCAGCCTCCTATGCCACTGAGATTACAGGTGTGCGCCACTGTGCTCGACTACAACTAAAAATATTAAAAAAAATATATTCTTCATATTCTGAGACTTCATATCTCTAGCCCCCTCATACTCATATTTTCTTTCATGCCCATTTTCTTCTAATTCTTTATTACTAAGGACTGAGGAATGGGCTGGGGATATGGCTCAAGCGGTAGCGCTCTTGCCTGGCATGTGTGCGGCCCGGGTTCSATCCTCAGCACCACATACAAACAAAGATGTTGTGTCCGCCAAAAATTAAATATAAATATTAAAATTCTCTCTAAAAAAAAAAAAAACTTTGAAAAAAAGGACTGAGGGATACATATGTAGCAAGCTCAATATACAAATGAAACAAATGAGAAGGAAAAGAATTGTTACTATGAATTGAGTGTGTGGAATAAATTTTATTTAGAAAAATATAACAGGAAACAGTGGTGATACAAATAAGTATTAGAATGTTTCAGTTCTAGTTAATAAAGTGAAATGTTTTAAATTCCATAAAATTACATTTCTTTGACTCCTGGTAAATTTTAGCTCTTACCATTGCAATCTTTGATTCATTGATATATTTTAAAATTAATTAATTTTCCTTGCAGCCCTCACAAATGCTAGACAAGGACTTAGCCACTGAACTATACACCCCTATGTTCTTTTTATATTATTTAGTGTCTGAGTTTGTTGTCTACTTGTTTATTGGCTTGAGTTTTTTTCCTTCCTAGATGCTTTCTTGTATAATTTTGTGAGTATAATACTGGGCTTTGTATTTTTTTAGATTTGATATTTATATTTGTAAATGATGTGATTTACATACAGTAAAATTCATTGTTTTAAAGTATACAATTCACTAGTGTTTAGTATACTCATAAAGTTGTATAACCCTCATCATTATGTAATTTCAAAACATTTACATCACCCCAGAAATATCTCATCTGTTAGTAGTCATTCCTACTCTCATTGTAACCCCTGGCATCCATTAACATTTTTGTTTCTATAGATTTGCCTCTTCTGGATATTTCAATTTACTGTTTAAAAAACATAGAGTGCCAGGTATGATGTTGCATATCTGTAATCCCAGCAGCTTGGGAGGCTGAGGCAGGAGGATAGTGAGTTCAAAGCTAGCTTCAGCAATTTAGCGAGGCTCTAAGCAATTTAGCAAAACCCTGTCTCTAAATAAAAAAAATAAAAAATAAAAAAATAAAAAGGGATGAGGATGTGGCTCAGTGGTTAAGTGCCCCTGGATTTAGTCCCTGGTACAAAAAAAGCCCAAAAAACCCAAAACAATGATTTGATACAAATTAAAGAATCTCACTTTTAATTAGGAAGCTGTTTATGAATAGTTGCTTTACCCAGCAATAACTTTTAACCATAGTTTGAAGGATTGATGTTTGAAAGTTGACATGGATTAATGGATAGGAGAGAGAAAGATGTTATACTTAAGGGGAAAAGTGTAAATGAAACAACAAAGTTGGGAGAAGCAAAGAACTTGATTTGAGACTTAACTTGACTTTTCATCAACCTTGATCTAGAAATAAATAAGTATGATTTATTTATTGTTTTTATCTAGTCTGTGGCTCCTGCAGCTTTGTTTCTGGCGGCTAAAGTGGAGGAACAGCCAAAAAAATTGGAACATGTCATCAAGGTAGCACATGCTTGTCTCCATCCACAGGAATCACTTCCTGATACTAGGAGTGAGGTAGGAAAGTGATTACATTTTTTTTTTTTATTGCAACAGTGTTATAACTTTAATTTGGTGAAGTTTGAATGTGGGCTTAAGTTTTTTTTTTTTACTTACTATATCCAAAATATTTTCCCATTTTAATTAATTTTCTACCTTTTTATTTATTTGGTGGTGTTGGAAATTGAACTCTGCGCCTAATGCGTTTTACCACTGGGATACATATCCAGCCCTGAAGGCATTCTTATAGATAGATTTTTGTTGTGGAAACATTGAAGAAATAAGTTCTGGGGACTGCGGTTGTAGCTCAGTGCTGGAGCACTTGCCTAGCACTGGGTTTGATCCTCAGCACCACATAAAAATAAATAAATAAATAAAATAAAGGTATTGTGTCCTCTACAACCAAAAAATAAAGAATAAAAATAAATGAGATCTGTTGCTAGTTTTTTCAGACTAACTTAAATCTTAGTGTGAAAATGAACTAAATCTCTGGGTCGTTTGAAAGAAATTGTAGGGGCTGGGGTTGTGGCTCAGCAGTAGAGTGCTTGCCTAGCATGTGTGAGGCCCTGGGTTCGATCACATAAAAATAAATATATAAAATTAAAGATATTGTGTCCAACTAAAAAATAAAATATTAAAAAAAAGGGAATTGTAAAAATCACATAGAAAATTCAGACACTCAAGAAACAGTTTAGCTGGGCTCAGTAGTGCACGACTGTAACCCACAGTGGCTTGGGAGGCTGAGGCAGGAGGATTTCGATTTCATAGCCAGCCTCAGCAACTTAGTGAGGCCCTAAGCAACATGGTGAGACCCTGTCTCTAAATAAAATATAAAAAAGGGCTGGGGGATGTGGCTCAGTGGTTAAGTGCCCCGGTTTAGTTTGTTCAGAAGAAAACCCATTTATTTCATAGAGGACCCATGCATTCATTTTAAGAGATTTAAATAATGTCACATCAGAAATCCATAATTTTTCTCCAGTCTGTTATGAATGTCAGCCCTCTAAGTACTCCCCAGTTTGTTGACTTCTAAAACCAAGAGTTTCCCTTTTTTAAGAAAGTCAAGCTGGGCACAGTGGCACACACCTGTAATCCCAGCGGCTGGGGAGGCTGAGGCAGGAGGATCACAAGTTCAAAGCCAACCTCAGCAACAGCAAGGTGCTAAATAAGCAAGTCAATGAGACCCTGTCTCTAAAATAAAATACAAAATAGGGCTGAGGATGTGGCTCAGTGGTCAAGTGCTCCTGAGTTCAATCACCAGGACCAAAAAAAAAAGGTCAGGGTGGAAGAAAACAAAAAGCTATATATACAAACATAGTATAAAGTTCTGGAAGGGTATATATGGAACTGTAATTAGCAGCAGCATCCTAGGAGATGAGAAGATGAATTTTAACTTGTATTTGAAATGTTATTTTTTTCTTTTTTCTTTTGAACTTGTGATCCTCATCCTCAGGTTCCCAAGTTGCTGGGATTATAGGCGTGCAGCACCTGGCCTAGTTATGTTCTTTTATTTTTTGTGGTGCTGGGGATTGAACCCAGGACCTTATGCATTCCAGGCAAGCACTCTGCCAACTGAGCAATATCCCCAGCCCCCTAATTGTTTTGCATGTAAGTGTCTGGCCTTCATTTTTCTCTTTAGGTCACACTGGTACCTCTTGTTAAAGAGTGATTGCTATAGATTTTTTTAGATTTGAAGACTAGTAAATGCTACTGATTCATGTAATTGAGTTAACAAAATAAAACACAAACAAATCCCCACTTTCCTTTTTCTAAAGTATATTTACATAATTTCTTACCTGAGCCTGCAGCCCTTATGAAAGAGTTAGGGAAAAATATTTTCTCTACTATATGGAAAGGAGAACTAGCAAAGTTTCAGTCCTTATTAGATTTATTCAAATCATAGAACTAAGTGGGAAGTTAACTACAGAACTCCTGACCCAGATCTCATTTTCCTAGAGACTATTGCTTTCCAGTAGAAATAAAATGAAAGCCACATTTGTGAAAATTGAAACATTTTAAGTTTTCATTAAATTTTATTAAAAATCCTGATTTTGGAGGCTGGGTTTGTGAGCTCAGTGATAGAGTGCTTGCTTAGCATCTATAAGGCCCTGGATTCTATTCTTGGCACTATAAAAAAAAAAATCTTCACCAAAAAATAATTTTAATATAATATATTTTATATAACTTAAGGTATCTAAAATATTTTCATTTTAGCATATATTATTTAAAAGTTACTAAATTTTACATTCTTTTTTAAAGATTAAGTGTTTAAAATCCATTGTTTATTTTATAGCAATGTGGCACATTTCAATTTAGACTACCTTTGTTTCAAGTTTTCTATAGTCACATGTGGCTAGTGGCTATCGTTTTATCTGGCACAAAGCTGAAATTTTTTTGTTCATTTTTCCTTTGAACTCATGTTAGTTTTTAGAAATCTAGTATTATCCCAAAGAGATGCTTACAATACTGTAGAAAGGATTCTGCAAATATATTTTGATGGTGTTGGAAAAAGGTGGTGTTATTAATTTTTTGTGTCTAAATCATTTTAATTTTAAAACTTAAAATGTCAGGCAACTTAGAGAGAGGCCTTGTTTTTTTAAATAAAAAATAAAAAAGACTGGGGTGTGGCTCAGTGGGTAAGTGCCCTGGATTCAATCTCTGGATTTACCCAAAAAAAAAAAAAAAAATCAGTCTGAAAATGAACTGTATCTGGTGCTTTCTCTGTTTTCTGTAGCCATATATAAAGTATTACTACTTGTATCTGGTTTACTTTTTTTGGGTGGGCAGTGGACTGGGGATTGAACTCTGAGGGGTACTCAGCCACTTAGACACATCCCCATCCCTAGTTTATGTTTTATTTAGAGGCAGGGTCTCACTGAATTGCTTAGTACCTTGCTTTTGCTGAGACTGGCTTTGAATTTGAAATCCTTCTGCATCAGCCTCCCAAGCCGCTGGGATTACAGGTGTGCATCACCACATCTGGCTATTTTTTTTTTTTTAAATAAAGGARAATCTGTGCCAATTAGATATAGGGATAAGGATTGTATTTCAATTCCTATTCTACCTCCTAACTCCACCTCTGCCTTTCATTGTTTTTTTTTTTTTCTGGAAGGAATTGATAGTTGTTTATACTTGATATATTATGCCTTTTTAGGAAATAATTTTTGACTTCTCATCTATAGGCTTACCTGCAACAAGTTCAAGATCTGGTGATTTTAGAAAGCATAATTTTGCAAACTTTAGGTAAGTTTATTTTCCTTTAAAAAATCAAAAATCATTTGTGTAAATAATGATTTGATATTAAAAATTACAAAATAGCAAACAGTAAGAAAATCCCTTGGGAAGATTTTTGCAAAGTATTGCATATGTTTCTGGATTATAGAGGTTGTAGAATTTAGAGTTGAACCTTACCTGTACCAACAGGGTAAAATATAGGTATAGTTGACTTTTGAAATAGCAGTAAGGTTTTTTTTTTTTTTCTTTTTCCCCTACTCTAGGGTTTTTAATTTACCTTTTTTAGGGTTTGGCAGTTTTTAACCTGATAAATAATGGCAAAACTATCTAAAGAACAATTTTCCTTCTGTCCATTATTCTCTTCATTCAGTCATTATATTTAAATACTGCATTTGTTTGTAAAATTGGTAACTAGTGTTCAGCATAGCACAGTGGAAGTGGAGGAATTCAAGCCATAATGGTTGTGTGGGCAACTCTGATGATGCATAGCAAATATGAAAATAAGGATTTTGTTTTTCTTGTTCTTTAGGGCTGACATTTTTCTTTAGGTAGGATAGGATTTCATGAGTGGCATTTGAATGTTATTGGTACAACTGGTTTTTTTTTTTCACATGTATTTGTGCATTTTGAGTTCTTTCAGCTATTCAGGTGGTTGAAGTGGAAAGATTGCAAATTTGAATCTAGTCTTAGGGAGACCCCATCTCAAAAATGAAATGAAAAGGGCCAGTGAGGTTCAATTTCCAGTATTAACACTCCCCCATTTTTTCTTTTAAATGTAGAAACAAGTAAGATCTAATTCACAAAAATAAGTTATCCTTTCAGAATAATTTACATCATGTAAATTTCTCAGTATTTATTGTATCTAGAAAATTTTAGTTATATACTTAAGAAAGTAAACTTACTTCAAAAGTAATTTTTATAGGCACACTGATCCTGCTTAAGTAATTTTTGTAAAGACCATTTGAAATTGGATAAAATGATCAGTATCTATTGTAACATGATGAGATGGAATAAAACCAAGATGAGAGGTATAGTTTTTAAAATATTTTTTCAAGAATAAGCTTTAGAAGGTAGTTCGAGTGACTGCTTCTTCTAGATTATATTATGTTCTGTTGTCCCTAAAATGTTTTGTGTTTAGAGGTTTTTAGTTCTTCAGTGGTTTTGAGATCTTATTGGTACTCTCTAGCTAGAGTGTAACAGCTGTGGAGATAATATATTTAGAGAAGAATATACTCTGTACTGCGTACTTTGACTTAGTCTCTGAACAGTAATGTTTGGAGAGAGAAATGAGGGCGGCCTTTAATGATGACTCAGATAAAAGAAATCTCAAATGTGTTGAATATCTTTAGCTTTTTAACCAGTTTTTTTTTTTTTTTTCTTGAAGGCTTTGAATTAACAATTGATCACCCACATACACATGTGGTAAAGTGCACTCAGCTTGTTCGAGGTAAATAATACACTTGCTTTGGCCAGAAGCTGAATTGAAAGTAATTGACTTCAATCAAAATTATTGGTCCTGGCTTGGAGTTTTCCTTTTGGGGTTCTTATTATTGCTTTTAGATGATTTACAGTTAAGAGAGAGTTAACACATTGAGGGTATTTGTCAAAGATTGGGGGGAGATTTTGAAAAATCACCAAGTGCTAAGTATCTAATGGTAACTTTAAGGAAGTCTTGGGAGTGGGTGATCTTATTTTAATTGTAGGGCTGATTAAAGACCATTCAGATGATTGAGTAGAATTTATTTGATCTTATTTCCATGCATGACAATCCCTTTGTAGGACTTTTCTTCTTATTCTAGTTTAATGATAGTAGCTCTAATTGAATGAAACCTAGTTCTTTATTTTATTAATTTGATTATTTTTTTTGCAGAGGAAATCAAACCCAAGGCCTCACACATGCTATGTAAACAATTTACTACTGAGCTATACCCCCACTCCTCAGTTTCTTTTATTTCATTTACATAGTAGTATCAAGAATATCGGGTGTAGCTCAGTGTAGAACACTTGCCTAATACATGTGTGGTCCTGGATTTGATCCCTACCATCCATTGCCAAAAAAAATCTGGACACCTTTGTATATTTAATGCCTTTTAGAGATTTGTAGACCAAACTGATGATTGGCCTTATTTTACATTTTAATAATGTAATTATTAAATTAAAAATTCCCAAAGTTTTCCAGATTACATTGTATTTGAAGCATTAAAATTACACATGAGCAAAGATAGGGTTAAACAGAGACAGATTTAATATTAAAAAGACTTAATTCTAAAGAAGATAAAAGAATGTATGTAATCTCAGCTACTGTGGAGGCTGAGCAGGATGATTACAAGACCAGCCTTGGCAATTTAGCCAGAGCCTGTCTCAAAATTAAATAAGTAAAAGGAGTTGGGGACATAGCTGTTGTAAAGCACCCCTGGATTCAATCTATAGTACTGTCAAAAGAAGAAAAAAGATCAAAATTTGCTTTGTCCTCAGAAGAGATTTTTTATAGGAGGGGGAACGTGGTGTTTTTCATTTCATTTATGTTAAACAATTGAAACTATTTGAGGTCTAGGGATTAAATTACAGGCTACTCAATTAAAAACTTTTTTTTTCCCCCTAAGCAAAAGTCACTTTTCCCAAATTCATCAGGGTCTTCTAGATTCTTATCTTGCTGCCAGATCATATTAGTTCATCCCCTGGCTTAATGTTTCTCAGTGATCCCTTGGATCAGAATGTCTGTGTTACTTATTAAAAATTGCTTGTCTCCTTCTTCCGACATATTGAATCACACTCTAGGGAGCAAGTTTATTAATTACATTTTTAAAAATTTTTTTTAGTTGTCAATGAACCTTTATTTGACTTGTTTATACGCAGTGCTGAGAATTGAACCCAGTGCTTCACATATGCTAGGCAAGCGCTCTACCACTGAGCTACAAGCCCAGCCCCTCATTTATTACATTTTAAAACAAATACCCTCAATACCTAATATGCAGAATAAAGCTTGAGTCTCTAGGTCTGGAATCAGCATAGTTATTAACATTAAAATAATTAAAATAAAAAAAATCATTGTGGTGGCACACAGCCTTGCTCAGGCTGTAAGCAACCTGATGAGACCTTGTCTCAAAATCAAAAAGAAAAAGGTCTGGGGATATGACTCAGTAGTTAGGCGACCTTAGGTTCAATCAACCTGATTGAGCCAGATGTTTAGCATATATTAGCACCTGGGCTTAATCCCCAGTGCCTCCCCCCCCCCAAAAAAAAAAATTTGTTATTTCCTTTAGTAGAATATAAAAATCAGGCGATGAGATATTTCTGCCTCATTTACTACTCTATTTCACACAGTAACTTGTAAATATAAATACTTACTAAATATTTGTTGATTATAAATGGCAGTAATAACTTTTCCCTTTTTTTTTTTTTTTTTTAGCAAGCAAGGACTTAGCTCAGACATCGTACTTCATGGCAACCAACAGGTTTTTATATTTCAATTTTTTCCCTTCTGTTTTTGATACAATGTGTTATAGATAATTCTCTGGTGAATGTAGTTTTTTTTTCCTGCAGTTTTCATGTTGTATCTTAGATTTCATGGTGCTTTTTAATTTGCTAAGGTGATATGATTATTTAGTAGTGATTCTTTGATTGCCTGCCTGTTCTACATGTGTTACTTTGCTTTAAAATAACTAAGAGCACAGTTCTGAAAGTTCATGTGAGTTTAGAACTCATTAGTAGTGAGTAAATATCTCATTTGGAGGATTTTGCAATGATGTTTCCTTTGCCCAAATGGACATGTGTATGTATAGAGTTGGCAATATTTTTTTTCTTTCTTTTTTTAAAAATTATTTGTATATAACTTTACTACCAAATGACTTTCTTGATTTCATCTCTGATCCTCCAGTAATGTTTGTTCATAGAAATTGAGAATACCCTTAATAAGTTCAGTTTTATGATATAAATGTGAATTTATTGAAATAAACCATCAATCAAGCAAGTTCACATTTTTTTAAAAAATATTTATTCTTAAGTTTTAGGTGGACACAAAATCTTTATTTTTCATTTATGTGGTGCTGAGGATCGAACCCAGTGCTTCGTGCATGCTAGATGAGCACAATACCACTGAGCTACAACCCCAGCCCGCAAGTTCACATTTGAGAATGATTTCTTTTTTTTTTTTGTTTTTAGTACTGGGGATTGAACCCGAGTGCTTTACCACTGGGCCACATCTCCCATCCATTTATTTATTTATTTATATTAGTTATATTTTTTAATATTTATTTTTTAGTTATAGGTGAACACAATGTCTATTTTACCTTATATGGTGCTGAGGATTGAACCCAGTGCCTCTCACATGCCCTCTACCTCTGAGCCACAACCCCAGCCCACCATAGTGGTTTTTGTCTCTGAGACGGAGTCTTGGTAAGTTGTTTAGCACCTTAGCTGAGTTGCTGAGGCTGACCTTAAACTTGTAATTGTCCTGCCTCAGCCTTCCAAATTGCTGGGATTATAGGCATGCACCACCATGCCTGGCTTGTGGTCTGTTCCTTATTTTTATTTTTTAAATTTTTTGTAGCTGTAGATGGACAGCATACCTTTATTTTATTTGTTTATTTATTTACTTATTTTATGTAGTGCTGAGGATTGAATCTGGTGGCTCACACATGCTAAGCAAGTGCTCTGCCACTGAGCTACAGCTCATCCCCTGTCTGTTCATTATTTTAAATAGTCCAGAACTATGATTGACAAAGAGAAGATGTTTTTTAGGGTATTTCCTTAGTATTTGATTAGGGATTAAATACAAAAACCTTAAAATTTTCCTTAAGTACTGAGCTTATTCTCCAGATAATAGGTAATAAAGATTTACTTCTGAGCTTTGATACTGGTCCAGAAGTTAATATTTTTAAAAAACATGGATATGTATCTTTTCTTTCTTTTTTTTTTTTTTTAAGTCCCTAGTCAGGGTATGGATTGAATTATAAGTGGAAAAGAAATTTAGAAATGTTGTTAGCCTGCACAGTGGTTAACAGAAAATCATTATATTGAGTGCTGAATCAGAGCATAGGATAGTTCTTGCCCTCTCTCTCCTGTGTATTTTTAGATTTTTTTTTTTCTTCTAATAATGGAGAGTTTTAGCTTTGGGTTGAGGATTGAGAGCTCATGACACTCTCTGTTTCCTTCCCTCTGATGTCAGCCTGCATTTGACCACATTTAGCCTGCAGTACACACCTCCTGTGGTGGCCTGTGTCTGCATCCATCTGGCTTGCAAGTGGTCCAACTGGGAGATCCCAGTCTCAACTGACGGGAAGCACTGGTGGGAATATGTTGACGCCACTGTGACCTTGGAACTTTTAGATGGTAAGTTTTAGAGTAAGGGACCTTGAAAAGCACTTGCTCTTGATTTGCCACATATCTGGCCAAAGGTGACTTTATTCAGATGAAAATAGTGAGTTAAGTTGGTTGAGGTTATTCTTGTTTTATTATCTCTGTCTCTCAGTCTTTTTTGAATGTTTTATTTGTAGAATTGACACATGAATTTCTACAGATTCTGGAGAAAACTCCCAGCAGGCTCAAACGCATTCGGAATTGGAGGGTAAGAATCATTGCTATCAATTGTTCCTTTTTTTTGGACTATATCAGGGAATATACCAGAATTGGATTTGTGTCCTGGTTTGGAATTTCCCTTTTCATAGTTGTGCAGTAATTATGACTTCATAGCTTGGATACTGGCCAGAAGTCTGTAGTTATAGGTGATAGCAGGTTTTGCTTTGTGTATGTAATACTTCTAATAATGATTATTCAGTAAGCTACATTGGTTAAATATTTTCTATGTGGAGACTGTTAGGGAAGAAAAGATGGCTTCTCTGAGAGTATTGGCTCCTAGTAGAGGCAAGATGTAGAGTTAAAAAGGTAGAGCTGATAAGCTGGGTGTGGCACATGCCTATAATTCCAGCAGTTCAGGGGACTGAGGCAGGCTCAGCAATTTAGTGAGGCCCCATCTTAAAATAAAAAGTGCTGGGGATTTGGCTCAAGATTAAGCACCCCTGTGTTCAATCCCTTGATACTAAACAACAATGAAAGGTTAGAAATGGTGTCATAATTTTATCCTTAAATCTTTGTTGAAACTTTCATATTAACTACTTTTAAAATGGGTTTTAGAATTTTTCACATAGATTGCAGCCTAAAGTTACATTTTAGATATTTTTCAAAGTCTTACTTAGGAATAATGGAATCATTCCTCCCCCGTCCCCCTCACCCCCGTACAGTGTGTTTGAAAACATTTTCCTTTGGGCTAGGGACTTAGCTTGGCAGTAGAGCACATGCTTGTCATTGTCATGTATCAGGCCCTGGGTTTGATCCTCAATACCAGAAAGTTTCCCTCATTTCTCATAAATCCATACTGATAAGTATAAATACATTCTCCTAAGTTGAGTGAGTTGCAGAGAATGTTTGCCTCCTAGAAGCTTAGGGTTAAAAGTAGGGTTGAGAGCTGGACACAGTGGTGCATACCTGTAATCCCTGATTGGGGAGGCTGAGGCATGAGGATTGCAACTTGAAGCCTACCTCAGCAACTTCACGAGGTCCTAAGCAAGATTATCTGAAAATACAAAGGACTGGAGACGTAGCTCAGTGATTAGATACTCTTGGGTTCAATTCCTGGTAAACCACCCCCACCCAAAGGAAAAAAAAAAAAGCAGAAGTAGGCTTCAGAGCATATAGTTCATCTTTTACTTTAATTTCTAGAATTTAAGGACTAACTATAGTCACAAGCAAACATACTTAATGTTTATAAGTGATTTTTAGTTTAGCACAGTTTTTTGTTGCTGTTGCCTTGTAAAATTAGTATGACTTGATTGACAGTTTTAAATTCCTTTATGAGGATTATATATTTATTTGCTCTCATGTTAGGGCAGCCTCCTGCTTGTTTTGACTTATCCTGAGCAAGTACAATCTACTCATCTTACTGGATTTTAATTTAATAAATTACATGAGGTGATGTTATTTGCTTCATTTAGGCATGTCAGGCTGCCAGAAAATCAAAAGCAGATGACCGAGGAGCAGATGAAAACACTTCAGAGCAGACAATTCTCAATATGATTTCCCAGAGCTCTTCCGATACAACTATTGCGGGTTTAATGAGCATGTCAACTTCATCTACTACGAGTGCAGTGCCTTCTCTTCCAGTCTCTGAAGAGTCATCAAGCAACTTAACCAATGTGGAGATGTTGCAGGGTGAACGTTGGATATCCTCCCAACCTCCTTTTAAACTAGAACCTGCTCAGGGTCATCGGACTAATGAGAATTTAGCACTTATAGGAGTCGATCATTCCTTGCAGCAGGATGGTTCAAATGCATTTATTTCCCAGAAGCAGAGTACTAAGAGTGTGCCATCAACTAAAGTCTCCCTGAAAGAATATCGTGCAAAGCATGCAGAAGAGTTGGCTGCCCAGAAGAGGCAACTAGAGAACACAGAGGCCAATGTGAAGTCACAGTATGCATATGCTGCTCAGAATCTCCTGTCTCACCATGATAGCCATTCTTCAGTCATTCTAAAGATGCCCTTAGAGGGCTCAGAAAACCCTGAGCGGCCTTTTCTAGATAAGGCTGACAAAACATCTCTCAAAATGAGACTTCCAGTGACTGGTGGCGATAAAGCTACCTCTTCAAAACCAGAGGAGATAAAAATGCGCATTAAAGTCCATGCAGCTGACAAGCATAATTCTGTAGAGGACAGTATCACAAAGAGCCGGGAACACAAAGACAAGCACAAGACTCACCCATCTAATCACCATCATCATCATAATCACCACTCACACAAGCACTCTTACTCACAGCTTCCAGCTGCTACTGGTAACAAACGTCCAGGTGATCCAAAACATAGCAGCCAGGCAAGCACGTTAGCACACAAAACCTATAGCTTGTCTAGTTCTTTCTCATCTTCGAGTTCCACTCGTAAAAGAGGTCCCCCTGAAGAGACTGGAGGGGCAGTATTTGATCATCCAGCCAAGATTGCCAAGAGTACTAAATCCTCTTCCTTAAATTTCTCCTTCCCTCCTCTTCCTACGATGGCCCAGTTGCCTGGGCATAGCTCAGACACAAGTGGCCTTCCCTTTTCACAGCCTAGCTGTAAAACTCGAGTTCCTCATATGAAACTGGATAAAGGTCCCACTGGGGCCAATGGTCACAACACAACCCAGTCAATAGACTATCAAGATACTGTGAATATGCTTCACTCCCTGCTCAGTGCCCAAGGTGTTCAACCCACTCAGCCCCCTGCATTTGAATTTGTTCATTCTTATGGTGAATATCTCAATCCACGGGCTAGTGGAATGTCCTCCAGATCTGGCAATGCAGACAAACCCCGGCCACCACCTCTACCATCAGAACCTCCTCCACCACTTCCACCCCTTCCTAAGTAAAAAAAAAAAAAAAAAAGAGGAGGAGAAAAAAAACTTCTCTAAAAAACATGCGCTTTTTTTTTTTTTTTGACTACTGATATTGGACTGAGAAAAATGATTCCCTTATGAAATATGTCCCTCTTCTTGGACTAGGGAATAAGTTGATGTTGAGACATAGGTGGGAGGGTGGTGGAGGGCCTTGGTTATTATATCTGCTGCCTCATACATTTAACTATTTTATAGTTTTTACTGGTATTAGAGAGGTGGGAATGTGTTGAAGCTGTGAAAGATTAAGAACACTTTCTCTAGGCCTCTCCACTTCCTAATTAGGTTGATTGGGATAGTTATCTTCCCTCTTCTTGCCAGAACTGAACCATGGAGGGTTTGTTTTATCAAGTAATTGTGGGTTCTTTTGATGTTTAATATATCAGAAGAGAGGAAGTATTTAAACGTCAAAATCTTTTAAGAGACTTTAAAAAATAATTTAAAGAAAGTAAGTTATCTGTTTAGTTTTTTTATATAATTGGGAAGGGGATAAGAATTTTGCTGTGTGTATGAGGTACATAGCAATGACTGGGGGTGGGTGGGATTGGAGGGTGGGAATGTGTGCAGGGGGGGTGGGAGGGTAGGCTCTTGGCCAAGAGTTCTGAAATAGGCTCAGGCCACTTGAAGTGTTGAGACTTTTAAGTGTGTATGTAAGCGTGGGTGTGTGGGTGTTTTTAAAGTGTGTGTGTTTAAAAATCATGTTTTATCTTTCCCTCGCTGTCCTTTATCATTTTCACTTCCCAATAGTCTACTAGAGAGAACATGGTTGGCCTTGAGAACATGAAGGAAGAGGCATGTATTTCCTCCTTTATGTTGTGATTGAGGAGTAGCACTGTAATTTCTAGTTTGGGCAAGAGCAGCCAATGACCTGATTCTCAACTCCATTATCAACTTCCTTTTTACAGCTTTTGTTCTTTTCAATGCAGAACAGAGGTGGGGTTGAGGAAGAAGGGTTAGAGAGCAAGGCCAGCTTCTGTCCTACAGAATTGGGTATGTCTTTTTTTCAATTAGGCTTTGGGAAAGTGTTCAGATGAGAGTGTTCTCAGGGTCTCTGAAGGGAAGGAGATGTGCTATATATATCCTGCTTATGAAAGCCCAGACTTATGTGACAATAGTTTTCGTAGAAGACTTGGAGCTAAAGGATACTAAAAACAATGAAATTGTGATTTGAAATTCTTAGGACATTGTATTTTAAATTACATTATGAATGTAAGACTTGCTTTTTATCTGTATATCTGAAGGGAAACAGCTGCATCCTTGTGTTTGCAGCCTATATGACTTCAGATTGGAGCTTGTGAATTTAACAGTACTGGTGCCGTGAGAGTGAGCAGTACTTGTCAGCAAATATTGTTATGTATAGAATGTCCATTTTTAGATTCTAGATGGAGGTTCCTAAGGAGATTTCTAAGAGTCCCTTTAAAAAAAAAAAATCAGGATTCCTGTCATGGGTGCTTGATTATCACATATATTAGGATTGAACATTTTGATGTGGAAGGACTGAAAATGCCACATAATTCAGATCGTTTGGTGTGTCATTTGGTCTTTGTGGCATTTTTGTTATGGGAGGATGGTGCAGTTTGAATTTATCTTTTTTAATGCAACTTCCATCATGCCAAATAGTATTTAGGGGAGAAGTCTCATTCTTTTCATTGCAAGTCATAGGGAGACGGGAGTTATGTATGTGCTGTTGTATGCCATGAATGGATTGGGGGGGAAACTGGGGCAGTTAGCATTGATGGTGTACTGGCCTGATATAGGAAGGACTATGTAGGAAAGCATAAACCTGAACTGAAGGTGAATGAAACAGAGTCCCGTATCAATGCATATTTGGATTATCTAGAGTGCCTGCCTGTGCTGTGTAAAATAAGGAGCTCTTTGTTGACCTGTAAACCAGTAATACTTCTTGGAATGTCACTTAACTTTTCTAGATGACAATTTCCTCTTTCTTGGTATTTTGTGTTGTGCTAGATAATTGGTAGATGCGTGGTTGTGTTTACTAAATTTTGATTTTGTGTTTGTTTAGATTTTGTTTGGTGGAGTCTGCTTCTATCCAGACCTCTCCAAAAGGGAATATGCCATTTAGTTTGTATCTGTATCTTTGTGGAATTGATGATCACTGATTTGATTGTGAAAGTGTCTCTCTAGCTTTTAATTACTCTTAATTAATGTCACATTTTCTAATCACATGCAGTCCCTTACCAGAAGCACATATCCACTTGATGTCATAACAGTTCTCCATGGCAGTACTGTAGTTAAGTTCCTTAGAACTTGCTAGGAATGAATCACCTAAAGAGTTGCTTTATGCTGTGGAGTCTGGCCTTTGCACTAGTAGATCTTTGCTGATAAAAGTCAGGTTAGAGACCTCTCTATATTTATGCCTCCTGGTACTGTCTTAAGATACCTACAGTGTCTGTTTTTAGATCTATGCATATATTCTGAACCGTCTTATGGACTCTGCATGAAGCTGATGCATTATCTTTGGGTTAACAGATGTGCCTGTCAGCTAATATGCATATTGTCCAAATTCTACAAACTTAAGTTTTCTAAGGGTTGTGTGATTTCTAAGCTGTGTGTCTTCTCTACCCTCACGCCTTCAAAGGGTGAGAAATGGGGTTTGTATATCCAAAGTTAGTCTAGTAAACATGACTTTTTGTTTCTTTTAACCTAGACTGTCAAGGATAGGTCATGGTGTTCAGCAGGCCTGGAGCTTCAAGTTCTGTAAAAGTAATTCCCAAAACTTTGCATAAACAAAATACCTGTGGATTGTCCTTAGGGCTTTTAATCCAATACCTGTGTTGCTCTTGGCTAAACTCTAGTGAAGTATTAATCTAAAGTCAACATGGTTTTCAGAGGCATCAGTTATGCTTTTTGGGTTAAGAAAATACTTAGGTATTAGTCTAGTCTTCCCACTCATTAATCAATGTTTCCATATTTGAGACTCTTAGCTTCCTTTTTCTTTTAAATAAATTTAGTGTTTTGATTTAGTGTATCCTATGTAATTTTGTATTATGGACTTCAGTGTTGATAGGACAACTTAAAATATCCAGTTGCATACAGCAGTGGATTCAGATATTGAAATAAAATCATGGTATCATCACTGCCAGGTTTTTTTAAGCCCATGGAAACCTAATTCCTCGTACTGATAATGCATACCCCTCATAACTTGCTTTTTGGAAAAGGCAATTTGTGGGTCCCTAACTATCCTGGTATGATTGGATTTTAAACACTTGTTTTCCTTTATTTTTGGAACTGATTAATTTAAAAATTTTTTGATTAGTTATTTTGATGCTAGTGCTAGGAAAAGAGAGAAGCTAGAGCATCTTGAAGTTGGAATGCAAATTCTTCTCTTGGGTTTGGGATAATTTAAGCAGTCTATGCAACCCATCTGAATTGTGAGAAATGGTCCTCTGTCATCCCACCGTGCTTTCAGTGACTAATACCTCCCCAAATGTTTCATGTTCTTGCTTGTTATCATCCAACTTTTAACTGAGTTTTGGCTCCTGATGAATTAGGAAATGTTCTTTTTGCACCACACTGTTAAGTTTTGTTTTCTATACCTCTCTGGATGTGAGTTTGAAGCAAGCACGGTACTGTAATCTTACCTGATAGTCTGGAATCATAATTAACTTTTAAGTGGGAGAGCTCTCCATTTTAATGTTTCTAAAGTTTTTGTATGAACGTGGTGTTGGAAAAGGGAGGAAAAGAAAAAGAATGTTTACTAAAAAGCAGTGTCTCCTTTCCCTTGATGAGTGTGTATTTGTGGTTGAATGAAAATAAACTTGGGTTTTGTGTTGCCATGTTAAGCATGGAGAGGGATGCTTGACAGCATGCTAATTGAAGCCAGAGTATTATCTCCATCAGGTAATCGGGAATTCTTCAGTGCAACTGAGGACCTGATTAGTTGTTGATCATAATGGAATTGGTTACAAAGTGAAAGTGCTGTATGGCTTAAGCACCCAAAGAATGCAGCAGCCTAACTTAGACTTAACCTGTTTTTGAGCTTGAAGTTGACCTTTTCCCACCCTACTTTACACACTTAAAACTGTCCGTTTTCTTACGAGACCAAAGAGCAAAAGGAAAAAGAAAACGAAAAACACTTTACCAATTTATGTCACTCAGGTACAATTTTGTGGTGAGAATTTTCTCTCTTTCTTTGTATTGCTCTTAAGAGTCCTTTCTCAGCATATTATTCTGCTGTTGCCTCTGTCCTCCTTAGGGGACCTCAGTTTTGGATGCTACCCTTGGGATCTCTACTGCTGTTATGTGAATGATAGGATGTAAGTGACCATTATCATAAGGGCTCTTTGTAAAAAATTCAGAAAATTTAAAAAAAATTAAAGAAGGATGTTGTATACATTTTATAGTCTGGCTATCAGTTTGATAACTTGCTGTCAAGTATGTTTCTCAATCTGTATTTATCCATCCCATCAATAAATGTTAATGATAAAACGTTCATCTGATTGTTGTTTATATGTACCATGTCGGCAAATTAGTCCTTTAGTCTTTAACTGTCATTTTATTGATATCATTACCATTTTATTTCAGTGTTAATGGCATTATGTTCTTACTGTAAAAGATCCCATAGGGATTCGAGTCCATTGGAAAGACCTAAGCTTTGGCCATTACAGTGAACCTGGTAGAATAAAGGATGTTGTAGTCAGGAGGAAAAAAACCTCATTCTGTATTCTTGAATGAATACTTGGAAGAACAACTTCTAAACAAACAAACAAAAAAGTATAGCTCTAACAGATGATAGCAACATTAAGCCACTTAGCAAGCAATATCAACATGATTCATAAGTATATATATATATATATATATTTTTTTTTTTTTTTTCACAGCAGTGTGAATCCAGGGCCACTTAAGCACTGAGCTACTTCCCCAGCCCTTTTTTTGTATTTTATTTAGAGACAGGTTCTCACCGAGTTACTTAGGGCCTTGTTAAGTTCCTGAGGCTGGCTTTGAACTTGGGATTCTCCTGTTTTATCCTCTCAAGCTTCTGGGATTACAGGCGTGCACCAGCATGCCTGGCCATAATTTTATTTTTTTCCATTTTATTTATTTTTAAATATTATATATATATATATATATGTATATATTTCCATTTTATTTTATTTTTGGACCATGGAATGAACTCAGTGGCATTGGACCACTGAACCACATCTCAGAATCTCACTGAGTTGTTTAGTGCCTCACTTTTTGTTGAGGCTGGCTTTGGACTTGCGATTTTTGTTGAGGCTGGCTTTGGACTTGCGATCCTCCTGCCTCAGCCTTCAGAGCTGTTGGGATTACAGGCGTGTGCCACCTTGCCTGGCCATAATTATGTCTTGTATCTGAAAAACCTGCTTTGTTAGGAGAGACAGAAAATGTTTTGAAGAAAAAAAAATTACATCCTTGATGGTGCCTAGAAAAATTGTAGAACCACATACATAGGGGCTGGGGATGTAGTTTGGTGGTAGCATTTGTCTTGTATGTGTGGAGCACTGGATTTGATCCCCAGCAACACAAAAACAAAACACAACAACAACAAAAAACTCAGGTACACAAGATAAATCTTGTAAATTACATAACTAAGGAATGAACTTTTATGCAAAAGTATTCCAAACTTGCAGGTTAGCAGTAGCTATAATTTAAAAGCTATAAAAGGAAAAAGGTAAATATTATGATACTTAAAAAAAAGTAAATTGTGTTCTGAAGTTCATTTTTTTTTTTCCTAAAATAAGGTAACTTGAAATTTTTGTTTGCTAGGCAAGCCCGAGGTGGGGACCGGGTGAGGGGGAGTATGTGTGTGTGTGTGTATGTAATGCTGGAAATTTGTGTGTGTGTGTGTGTGTGTGAGAGAGAGAGAGAGAGAGAGAGCTGCAAATTTAAGAGAGAGATATATCTGAAAATTTAATCCAGGACCTTGTTCTTGCTAGGCAAGTGCTCTACCACTGAGCTACACCCCCAACCCCCCAATTTTTATTTTCTACTTTGGAATTTTTGTGGAACTTTCTATTCCTGTCTTCTTTGTTATCCTTGGGAATAGATGAGGTATAAATAATTTAAAGTTTGAATACTGCTGCAATCCCAATTATAGGGCTTGTTTAATGAATTGATACATAGGACCATGCCTCATTTTATGACCAATACCTATATCATCATATCCTTATCTCCTATGCATTTTTTTTGGTGGGGGCACTAGGGATTGAACTCAGGGGCACTTCCACTGACCCACATCCCCAGCCCTATTTTGTATTTCATTTAGAGACAGGGACTCATTGAGTTGCTTAGTACCTCCCGTTTGCTGAGGCTGGATTTGAGCTTGTCATCCTCCTGCCTCAGCCTCCCCAGCTGCCGGGATTACAGGCTTGCGCTACCATGCCCAGCTTCCTGTATACTTTTGACAGGGAAAAAAATTGATTGCTACGATTCAATATTAAGTCGAAAGTTGAATCCCTTTCTAAGACATGTGGCAACTGGGTGCATTGGTGTGTCTGTGATCCCAGCTACTCAGGTTAAAGGCAAAGAGTCTCATCACAATTTAGTAAAAGGGTGGCTTAGGTTGCAAATGCTGAAGGTAATGAGAACTGTACCATATATATTGACAATGACATCAATGGGATTTGTAAAGTCAAAGAAGACTCCCTGTGTTTGGCTTGACCAACTAGAAGAATGGACAATACTGAGATGGGGATGATAATAGGAGGAGCAGGAGGTTGGCTATAACATTAAATTTGGAACTGCAGTTAGTTGTCCAATGGCGATGTCTACTGTACAGATGTATATAGACTTCAGTTCAAAGAAGGGGTCCAGGCTGGAAATAGATGTTTAGGAATCATCAACTGATGAATGGAGTGAGATAATTGAGGGAATGCCTTTAGAAAAGAGAAATGTCCAGTGCTCAGACCTTGGGGAAAAGAGAAGGGACAAGAGACAAAAAGAGACTGAGAATGTGTTTGAAGCAGGAGGAAAAACTATTAAGAGTATGGAGATATAGAAGTGTTTTAAGGAGGACAGAATGGCCAAGTGTGTCAGATTTTACTAAATGGTGTAATGAGATGAAGTCTCAGAGAAAGGAACCTGCAAGGTGAAAGTCATATATCAACTTGACTATCAATCTGATGTTGGGAAAATCCTAACTGGGGAGGGTTTGAGAGAATGAGAAGTTGGAGACAGCATGTCATGGCAACTTTAAGCTTTTCTAAAAAGAGGAATAGAGGAATGGGGCAGTAGCTGGAGAATGAGCTAAAAATCAAGAGTTTTGCTATTTTTAAAATGGGAGAAATTGCAGTATTTACATATGCTGATGGGAAAGATCCAGTAGATGAAAGAGACCTGTGGAGTTCCTTGAGAAGTGGAGATGTCCTTCAGTAGATACAATGGGATGCTCCTATAGGTGCATGGCCAGCAAAGTCACAATAACTGGAAGGAAAACAATACTGATTGAACCACAGGCTTTAGGTTGATATGGTGAGAGCTTGTGAAAGTCTTCTTTTTTTTTTTTTTTTTTAAAGAGAGAGTGAGAGAGGAGAGAAAGAGAGAGAGAGAAAATTTTTAATATTTATTTTTTAGTTCTCGGCGGACACAACATCTTTGTTGGTATGTGGTGCTGAGGATCGAACCTGGGCCGCACACATGCCAGGCGAGCGCGCTACCGCTTGAGCCACATCCCCAGCCCGTGAAAGTCTTCTTTTGACTGAATTTAATTTTGAGATGTGTGCCACTGCACTCCACCATTCTTTAAAAACAAAAACAAAAAACTAATCCAGCTGCTAGCTAATATAGCACAAGTTTACACTGTTAGCTCCTCTTTTTCTGTTCTTTATGATTAACCCCCAAACTCCAAATTCTCAAGCATTCTTTTTCCTTCAAGAATTCCTCTTTCCCAACACTTATTTACAAACAATCAAGCTTTTCAACAGCTAGGAAAGTATTTAGTAAATTACAGCCAGCCATCTACTTTGTTAGACATAAAAGAATTTATTGATATCTTTTTTTTAAAAAAAGAAATTTTCTGGGCACAGTGGCCCACACCTATAATTCCAGCTATGTGGGAGGCTGAGGCAGGAGGATTGCAAGTTCAAAGCCAACCTCAGCAATTTAGCAAGTCCCTAAGCAACTTAGAACCTGTCTGAAAATAAAAAATAAAAAGGGCTGGGCATGTGGCACAGTGATTAAGCACCCCTGGGTTTAACCCTGGGTACTAAAAGAAATTTACCATTATTTTGATCACTTAGTAATATCTGCTCACCCCTCTATTCCCACATTTGGGAATAATTCCAAATAGTAATTTTTGTCTGCCTTGGCCTTAGCAGAAGGATTTTTCCTCTGGTTAGAAGAAAGTCTTTATTGCATCTCTATCTATTCCTGTGTGTCTTCATCTACTATAATAGTTTTAATATTCCTTTTGTTATTTCCACATTTGGTTGCAGATTTTGATTCCCAAATTTTCTATAATATTACTGCCTCCAGTTAGTTTTTTWAAAAATATTATTATCATTATTATTTTTTAGGTGGGGTTCTTGTTCTTTTTTTTGTCTTGTCTTTTTTGGAACTGGGGATGGAACACAGGGCTTTGTGAATACAAGGCAAATGCTTTCCCACTGAGCTATGTCCAGCCCTCCAGCTAGTTTTTTTAATAGGGTGTTTATAACACCTATACCCTCTTTTGAGGGTTGAAATATTTGCTACGTTTTTATTGCTATTAATATTATGCTTGTTTTGCATCCACAATCCCACATTATTCTAGAATGTTTACTCCAAGAAATGAGGGTTATTTTTCTTGTTGTCTCCTGTATCCCCAGTGCCTGGCACTGAGGTGCTTAATAAATATTTCATGAATGAATGAATTTCAGGAGAGGGTCTTCTACTAAGGGCTGCATTAGTCTCTGGAAACAGTACCCTTTCACACACTTCGTTTTAGTTATTTCCACCCCCTAAACACACTGCTTTTCTTGAGGTCCGTAGATTCTTAGTGCCGACTTCCATTAAAATCATGCTCACCTGCTCATTGATGATCATGGATACACGTCTTACTCTTACGTACCATGAAACCAACAGTGAGCTGGGAGGTTAGGATGCAAAAACCAAAACAATAAACAAAACTCTACAAAGTGTTGGCTCATTTCTATGAGTAGTGGTGATAATAGAAGAATGCTTTCAACTAAAACCCCTTAAAAGATGATAAATTGATATTTTCTGTCATTTCTATAATATGTGCATTATTTTGCATGAAGTTGTAGAGAATTTTTAGAGAATCAGGGCGTACAGTTTTTAAGAAGAAAGGCCTAAATCATAATTTATATTTCCTTATTTTCATTCAGTCCAATGCCCTTTTACTATGAGAGGCAATAGAGATAGAGTGAAAACTTTTCAAAATCGCCTCTCTTAGTAGCTACGTAAAATAGAGTTAATAATAGCCTCTACCTCAGGGTTGCTCTGAAAAATTAACTGAATCGATACATGTTATTTCCCACACTTGTGGAAAACGCCCCCCCCACCAACTGTTTATTAGAGTGCTCAACACGAAATTACCATTCAATGTAGTGAACTGCTTCCCAAACTAAACCTTTTCATGTATAAACAATGAAATGTACAGTGATTCTCCAGCCTCTGTCCAATCTTCTACCTGCTGTGTAGGGGTGGTGAGAAAGCAGTTGCCTAGGATCACAGGCCAAAAGTTGGATGAAAGTGAGCCACATAGAGAGGGGGGAAAAAACATCCTGGGCCCGAGACTCGCGCGATAGCCCGCCTTCTCACTGAGGTCGGAGGGAGTTGCTGACCCACGTTCGTCCCAGTCGCTCCAGCCGCGCATTTTCTCAGCGTTCAGCTCCCTACAGACGTGTTAGTGGCGGGCCTCGACCAATGGTGACACAGCGTCGTGAGAGCAGCAGCCAATCAGCAGCTAGGAGCCCGGAAAAGAGCAGGGCCGAGGTAGCAGCTGCTGGCGCTTGCCAGAGAAGGGCGAGCGGCGCGGTGGAGCGCTGCGGAAGAGGTAAGATGGCGGCCCTGCGTGCTCTTCGCCTTTGTAGTTAGGCTGTTTTTTCGCCCTTTCTGTTGTCTCAGAGCGGCTGCCCCTCCTCAGGCAGCTTCGGAGTCGCTCTTCTACTATAGACTCCTGGGAGCCAGCTTCTTCGGTGCGCGGAGCCTTAGGACAAAATGGCGCTTGCACTGCGCCCGAGGCCAGCCTGGGCCCAGCTGTGAGCTCTGAGGCGGGCTGGGACAAAGGCGGCGTGCAGGGCAGCGGGGGCGGGGCGCGGCGTTGCGGCGGGGCCACGTGGGGCTGGCGCCACTCTTCCCCTCGTGCTGCAGCCATGAGAGTCCTGGAGGTACCGTCAGCGTGGCTGGGTGTCGGGGTAGGGCCCGGCGTGGAGGGAGAAGTTAAAGGGGAGGCAAAGTCTCCGGTGCTAGGGAGACTTGGGAAGGCGGTGGGGGAGTTATGGAGCGTACCCGCGAGGCCGCCTGCTGCCTGTCCTTTAGAAACTTACCTACCCGAGGTCTATCCGGACATTGTGGGACATTGTGGAGTAGGAATTTTCGGGAAGGGTAAGGGCATTTTGATCTTCCTTGTGACCCTACAGGTTTTGGTATGAACAGGATTCGGATTCACGTCTTGCCAACCAATCGGGGGAGGATCACCCCAGTGCCCAGGTCTCAGGAGCTCCTGTCTTGTTCGTTTACTCATCGCCCGTGCTCGCAACCTCGCCTGGACGGCCAGGAGTTTTGCATTAAGCATATCCTTGAAGACAAGAATGCACCCTTCAAGCAGTGTAGTTATATATCAACAAAGAATGGAAAGAGATGTCCCAGTGCTGCCCCAAAACCTGAGAAGAAAGACGGGTATATATGTATAGATACATATGTTTGTGCCGTTAGTCTCTTATTTTTGTTTCTTCTAGTGCTGAGGATTGAACCTAGGGAATCATGCATGCTGAGCGCCCACTCAACCACTGAGCTGCAACCTCAAACCTYCCCACCTTTATTTTTGTGATAAGGGGGATAAATGATATGATCTCTGGGCTTAGGCATAACTGCTGAATTTTAGATTATATGCTTTTAAAGTTGGACTTATGAATATATCCTTGGAAAAAATAAAAACCAAAATACAATGGTGATTAATTGGAAGGACACTTGATTTGGATCACTTAGTTCATCTCTGGATCTTTTTCCTTGTCTGTAAGATGAAGGGATATTCTAAATTCTTAATGCTGGGGTGCTGACTCTTTTGGCTTGTACCTTGTTAAATAATAGGCAAAGTCGTGTATATGTGTATTTTTTTGGAAGAGACTTCATAGCTTTCATCATATAAACAAAGGTATCCATGTAGAAACATACCTCTTCTAGATAGTTTTGTGTAAAACTTCGAGTTTTAAAATTGTCCCACAGGCTGCGCGGTGAAGGTAGATGTCTGTAATTGCAGAAGCTGGGGAGGCTGAGCTGGAAGCTGAGGCAAGAGGATCCCATGTTTGAAGTCAAATTTAGCAATTTAATGAGACCCTAAGCAACTTATAGAGATCTTGTCTGTCCCAAAATCAAAAATAGGATGGAATAGGGGCTTAGGTTATAGCTCAGTTGGTAGAGTGCCTGCCTCACATGCACAAGGCCCTGGGTTCAATCCCCAGCACAAGGGTAAAAAAAAAAAATGGATGGAATGTAGCTCAGTGGGTTTAATCACCAGTACCAAAGGAAAAAAGTGTCCTACATCTTATTACTTACAGTGGATTGATATGAAAATGACCCTTCTAGAATTAATTTTGAAAAATTAATCTCTTTGTTATTATGAGATAATGTCAACATTGTTATAGTCGGAATGTTTTGTTTAATGGCTAGTGCACTGGATAAGCTTCCTGCTTTTCCCTTTAATAACAAATGTGGGCGGGGGTGTAGCACAGCGGTAGAGGCTAGTTAAATTCATCTGATTCCTTGCCATTTGAGGAGTGAATGTAATATCATTTCAGTTTCCTGAAAATGCTCTAAAGATAAGTGACTATGAAAATTGTTGAACCCTTTCAAGAGAGAACCTATAAAATATTAATATTTATATCTTCTTAGGGTGTCCTTCTGTGCTGAACATGCCCGTAGGAATGCCTTAGCACTTCATGCTCAAATGAAGAAGACCAACCCAGGGCCTATGAGTGAAACACTCTTGTGCCAGCTGAGCGCATATGCTAAGACAGAACTGGGCTCTCAGACTCCAGAAAGTAGCCGCAGTGAAGCCAGCCGAATACTGGGTAAGGATCTTTTCTCCTAGAATAAAAAAGGTGGGAGAAGGTTAAGAATGAATTTATTTTGGTTTGAAGTATCTTGAACATATTTGGCAATATTATTCATTGGGAATTTGGTGAGGGTGATGAACTTCCAGGGTTGCTGTGTTCTTCACCAGTTCTTTGCATTTGAAGGAGAGTTTGCTTAGGTTTATTCTTCTGAGCTGGTGACTTTTTTTTCCTTATATAAATGGTGTTTTTAATTTTAAGGTTTGGGTTGATTTGCTAAGTAATCTAGTTTTGTGTGGTGGAGTTACAGAGGTGGGAAGTCTTGATGACTGCTCTCCCTTCCTTGCCTCAGATGAAGACAGCTGGAGTGATGGGGACCAGGAACCCATTACTGTGGATCAGACATGGAGAGGTGACCCTGACAGTGAAGCTGATAGCATAGACAGTGATCAAGAAGATCCCCTAAAGTAAGTTGTAACTCCACATAAGGATTTTTGAATATTTTATGTAGTTAGCATGTGGATTGTAGTGTGACATGCTGCTAATAGATTAATAACCAAAGAGGAAATACAACTTAGATATTTGTGAGCAGTAACAGCTTCTGTATTTTAAAGTGTCAGCACCATCTTGCTTCAAGGCAAAATTTGATTGTTTTGTTTTTATGGTACTGGGGATTAATCCAGGTTCTTGTGCTTGGTACGCCACTACTCTGCCACTGAGATACATTCTCAACCCAAGATTCGATTCTTTTGTTGAAGATTTGTAATCTAGGAAGATTTTTGAATACTAAATTCTGTACATGAGAAAGTGTAGGGGAGAGAGTAGGTTTTTTTGGACATGGAAATGAGAAATGCTTAGACCAGTTAGAGAAGAAACAATGGATGTGAACAGGTGGTTGTTCTAAACCTCAGGAGAGAGGTGATTCAGTAACTACATATTTTGCAAAATTTCATGTTTATGGATTTCCTTTTTAAAAAGGAAAATAACAGTTTGCTTTGGTTTCATGCCAAAGAAGCGGAAACTGATCTAGAAACACAGAAGTGAGTAATCATCCTAATTATATCTTACTAAGGTTTTGCTTTTCACTTAACCCATGAAGTCCATGATCCTTTAGTAGGTGTAATATATCAAAACTTGTCTCATATTCTAGAGTTTTATAATTATATTTCTCATGATTTGAGTTTAGGTTAGTTTCCTTTTTCTTTTCTTTTTTTTTAACCAGGAATTGAACCCAGGGCACTCTGCCACTGAGTCATATCCCCAGCCCTTAATGATTTTTTTTTTTTTAAGTTGTAGAGGGACACAGCCCTATTTTGTGTTGCTTAGCACCTCACTTTTGCTGAGGGTGGCTTTGAATTTGAGATCCTCCTGCCTCAGCCTCCTGAGCCACTGGGATTATAGAATACCTTTATTTCTTTTTATGTGGTGCTGAGGATGGAACCCAATCCCTCACACCTGCTAGGCAAGTGCTCTACCGCTGAGCTACAACTCAGCCCTTTTTCATTTTTTAAATTTTTTTTTTTTTTTAAAGAGAGAGTGAGAGAGGAGAGAGAGAGAATTTTTAATATTTATTTTTTTTTTAGTTCTCGGCGGACACAACATCTTTGT